TTTTTTTTTTTTTTTTTGAGACAGGGTTTTGCTTTGTCGCCCAGGCTGGAGTGCAATGGCGTGGTATCAGCTCACTGCAACCTCCGGCTTCTGGGCTCAAGCAATCCTCCCACCTCAGCCTCCTAAGTAGCTGGGACCACAGGCACATACCACCCCGCCCGGCTAATTTTTTGTGTTTTTGTAGAGATGGGTTTCACTATGTTGCCCAGGCTGGTCTCAAACTCCTGAGCTCAAGCAATCCAACCTGCATCGGCCTCCCAAAGTGCTGGGATTATAGGTATGAGTCACCTCACCTGGCCAAATGTGGATTTTGATGGACTTTTAAAATACTTTTCCTTAACTTTGAATTTTCCCATAATCCTGAACTACTGTCATTTAAAAAGGTAATGCATCTTTTCTTCAGAGCCCTGCACCAGGGTGTCTACAACCTTCTGTGCTTATGCAGGATTTGAGCCTCGACATTTGTCCGCTGCCCTCAGTCACTCCTGCGGCACTCACAGTTCTCTTCTCAGCATCTCCCTGTGTAGGCAGCAGGAAAGGGGTCTGTATTTCATGTAAGGAAGCTGAGATTGTCTTAAAAAGTCATCAAATAAGCTGCCAAGATATACTAATTGCAAGTCAAACTTCATAAGCAAAGTTTTAATTCACTTCTGCCATTTTGTGGAAATAGGGCTTATCTGGCAAACTTTCCATGTATAAAAGGGTGAAAATTGGCCGGGCGTGGTGGCTGATGCCTGTAATCCCAGCACTTTGGGAGGCCGAGGCGGGTGGATCATGAGGTCAGCAGTTCAAGACCAGCCTGGCCAAGATGGTGACACCCTGTCTCTACTAAAAATACAAAAATTAACCGGGCATGGTGGCACACGCCTGTAATCCCAGCTACTCCAGAGGCTGAGGCAGAGAACTGCTTAAACTTGGAGGAGCGGAGGTTGCATGAGCCGAGATCGTGCCACTGCACTCCAGCCTGGGCGACAGAGTGAGACTCTGTCTCAAAAAAAAAAACAAAAAAAACACAGAGCACTGTATTACAGACATGTCAACTGCTAAGCTTACTGTACCACAATACCCTACAAAATATAGGAAACCTACTTTTTTGTATTTCCCAGCAGGTGTGGGCTGGCTGAGTGACAGCAGGAGCTGGACATTTGATCTCCTAACCCCTTTAGGAAACAGCAAGTGCCTTTGCTCTTCATTTTCCCCTACAGTGAGATTCCAGCCATGCTTTCTGTAAGACACACCCGACATGGTGGGCAAAGGAAAATGAGAGGGTAGGAGACTTCTTTACCTGCTCCTTTAGGGCTCTTTGGAGCTCAAGATTGTTTTTGCTGCTGTTGTTTTTCTTTGAGATGGAGTTTCACTCTTGTTGCCCAGGCTGGAGTGCAGTGGCACAATCTTAGCTCACTGCAACTTCCGCCTCCCGGGTTCAAGCAATTCTCCTGTCTCAACCTCCCAAGTAGCTGGGATTACAGGCACAGTCTTGGCTCAGCCTGGCTACAAAGGCCGACGGTAGCCCTGTGGGATTGAGGATCTAACATGGACCAGTCTTCCCGCTGGTTTTCCCTACAGGAAATCTCCATCTTTTTTTTTCTTTTTTTTTTTTTTGAGACGGAGTCTCGCTCTGTCACCCAGGCTGGAGTGCGGTGGCCGGATCTCTGCTCACTGCAAGCTCCGCCTCCCGGGTTTACGCCATTCTCCTGGCTCAGCCTCCCGAGTAGCTGGGACTACAGGCGCTCACCACCTCGCCCAGCTAGTTTTTTGTACTTTTTAGTAGAGACGGGGTTTCACCGTGTTAGCCAGGATGGTCTCGATCTCCTGACCTCGTGATCCGCCCGTCTCGGCCTCCCAAAGTGCTGGGATTACATGCTTGAGCCACCGCGCCCGGCCGGAAATCTCCATCTTTAAGGACGTCACCAAATTCAAACATTTTGGATTTTTCTGCATGGATAAGTAAGCCCTGTCTGGGGGCTGAGTCTGGACCACAGCTGCCACCTATGCACTTGACCCACTGTTGGTACGGGGCCATCTGGACAATCCCAGAGGGCTTTACCCTGGGCTAGTGTGGGGTCAGGGCACCTTGAGTTCTAGGTGAAAGGAAAGAGGGTCAGCAGCAGGCACAAAAGCCAGAGGGATGGCTCAAGTATCTGCTTCATATGCCCTCCAGAAGCTAAGGGGACTCTCCACCACCCACACCACCCTCGTCTGCAACCACTGGAGCAGACTATAGAAACACAAAAGGGGGGTTGGTGCAAACCAGGCTAACATTTTTAAGTGAGGTAAAAGGCACGGTATTTTAAAAAATACACTTATGGAGGAATCTCCTTTAAGAAGGCAAAATCATTTAAGCAAGCAGATAATGCAGCAAAAGCATTCAGCCTCCTGAAGGAAGAATGGCAGAAAAGAAGAAAGGGAGAGAGGAAATCCACTTCTGTTTATGGTTACATCCACTGTTTCAGATGTAATAAAGGAAGACAGTATGGGATTCAAATCCAAAAGTCAGTGAAAAGGTATCATGGTACAATTTCCACTGTACTGTGCCTTACTGTGTATAAAATATGACATACTTCTTGAGGGCTGAGTGAAACCATAATGAGTATGCTATGTTAATTACTCAATAATAAACATATTTTGCCATAAAACATTCAGACTCACTGAGGTATAGAGTAAAAGAGAATCTCTATTCACACTGCCCGCTCAGAGGTAACTACTCTTAACTACTATTAACACTTCAACACGCAGACTGCCAGTTCTTTCACCATGTGATTATAAAGTTTATCTTTAAAGTAACAGGCTGGGCACGGTGACTCATACTTGTAATCTCAGGACTTTGGGAGGCCAAGGTGGGTGGACTGCTTGAGCCCAGGAGTTTGAGACCAGCCTGAGCAACAGAGTGAGGCTCTGTCTCTACAAAAATTACAAAACTAGTCGGGTGTGGTGGCACGTGCCTATGGACCCAGCTACTCAGGAGGCTGAGGTGGAAGGATCACCTAAACCTGGGGAGGTCAAGGCTGCAGTGAGCCATGATTGTGCCACTGCACTCCAGCCTGGGCAACAGAGCATGATCCTGTCTCAAAAAATAACATTAAAATAAAATAAAAATAAAGTAATAAACAGGATCCTATCACATATATAGTGCCTATACCAGCAGAGCAATTTCTTTTCAAGGGCTTCCAACTCTCTTTTCTTGGTGCATATACTAGAACCCCAGCTCCTTTTCAGGCCTACAGAACCTGTGAGGCAGTGTCCTGGCCACACTGGTCTTCCTTCTCTTCCTGGAGCATGCCACACTCCCGCACATCTATCTTCAGACCCGTGGCTCCTGCAGTTTCTGCTGCCAAAACCCTCCTTCCCTAGAGCGTCCCTGGGCTGGTTCCTCTCACCACACAGGTCTGAGCTCCAGTGCCACCTCCAGGAGACACCTCCCTGATTGCCTGAGCTCCCAATCCATTCTCTACCGCGTGCCACTCTCTGTCTTTAATTTTTCTTCTTGTAATTTCTTGCCACCTGGAATTGTCTTATGGGTTTGCTTAAATTCTGGCTTTCTTCTGCAGGAAAAGGAAACTGATCTTGAGGTGTTTATAAATGTAGCCCCAACAGCAAGGATAGTTCTCAGCATAGGGTGGACATTTAATAAATATTTCTTGAATGGGTGAGAGATTGATTTTTCAACTTAAAGAATTTAACAATATGTCAAATTCTTCCCATGGCAGTACAGACAGGTCAAGTTCATTTTTTAAGAGGCTGCACAGGATTCCATAGTGCACATGGACTGGAATTTGATCT